CCCTACTCCAGAGACAGTAGTATGTGAGAAGGCTCTTTCTATAGCTGCAGGATTGTCTTGTGGTTTGGAGGATTTATTTGAATCCCTGCTCAGACTCAGATATTTGTAACTGTGGGACAACCTTACCCTTTTCTCTTGTATTTCTGTTTTCCCATCTAAAAGAGGTAGGTGGCAGGTTTCTACTTCATAGAATATTAGGATTTAAAAAAACAAAACAAATCAAAACCAGACTAATGATGGTTATTGATATTGCACAGAAAAATAGGAAGAAAGAAGACAATTATTTCCTGATGAACAAGGGTCAAATCTGAGAGATCAATACAAAATTTGTACTTCGTAACAGTTTTGTCCAAGTGAAAACAGAAATGTCAGATCAGTATTCGACCCTCAGATGAAAATACACATTGAAGTTGTAATAGGTTCCTTTTCTCTTTGAGGTTAAAAGGAAATGTAGCAAAGAACATTATCTAATTTCAGCCTAATAATGAAAACTTGTCATCAGACAGCAATGCTTGCCAAAGAAAATAAAATGTCACCTCTGAAGGGACTGCATGCATGAGTCTGTCACAAGAAGTCCCTAGAGAGACAGCTTTTATAACAACAACAAAATATGGTGCTGAATTTAAAAAAATATCCATACAAGCACTATAATTGCCAAATGGAGAAAAATAATCCCAGCTGTATCATAACTGATACTTGACAAAAGCCTGGCCTCCAAATATTCCTTTCATTTTGGTCCAACTAGATAAACTCAGTCTAAAATGAATTATACATAGAATGAAATATCTGAAAAGATCCTCACTGCAAAGGCAGGTTTTTTTCTTTCTTTTTTTTTTGTGGGAGGTGACACACAAGGTGGGGAGTTCCCCCTTTGCTAAAGATACATTATTTCTCCTTGTGCTGCTCAGTCTGTAAATGCTGAGATTGGTGCTGAGATAATGGCAAAGGAGGAAAAACCTTCAAAAGGCTGGTTATTACAGTGTCTCATCAAAGACAATGAGACATTTGGGCATGCATTCCCAGGGAGCTGGAATTTCCCTTTGAGAGCTGTTGCCTTTTCTCACATGGCTGTCTTCCAGATCTCTGGGCACTGGCTTCTAATTTGAGAGGCCATCCCTGACAGTACAATTGCTATATCCTTTTCCTCTCTTTCAAACAACCTCAGCCTTGTATTTCTCCACTTTGGGCTAGAATCACGTCACATTCAGGACACACTAAGGAGAAAAAGAAAGTGTGTCTCCCTGAGTGCGGTGCAGCATCATGGGCTCTGCTCTGCTGGGGGAGCTGTCGGATGCACGAGGTGAGCAGCCCCTCTGAATTCTCCTGCAGAAAGACCCAGAAAAAAGCTGTGGCTTTGGTGTTGTTCAGCCACCTGGCTTTGCAGTGGGACTGCAGGCATGGAGGAGGATGTTACATAAGCAGAGAGAAAGCTTTTGCGGGCTGTGTTTAATTAATTCAGAATACCAGGAACTTCAGAGTTGAGCTCAGGGAAACTAGAGAGGGAGCAGTGTGAGACATAGAAAAGGGGAAAAATAAAATTTACTGTGGTGATTTCAGCCATCTGAATATCAGTGTCCCTGGAAAGCTTACATCCTTTATGTCTCTGGTTTGGAAACAGGTGTTGGCTGAGTTGTTTGGATTGTTCCCTGTTCTTAAGTGAAGGATCGTAGAATCATAGAATAGTTTAGGTTGGAAGGGACCTTTAAAGGTCATCTAATACTACCTTCCTGCGAGGAGCTGGGATATCAACTAGATCAGGTTGCTCAGAGCCCTGTCCATGCTGATCTTAAATGTTTCTAGGAATGGGGTATCTACCACTTTTCTGGGCAACTTGTTCCAGTGTTTCAGCACCATCATTATAAAAAAGTTCTTCCTTATATCTGAACTAAAACTCCCCTCTTCTACTTGAAAACCATTTTCCTTTCTTCTATTGCAAAAGATCCTCCTAAAAAGTTTCCTCCTGAACTTGATTAAAACTGAAATTACTGGTATATCAAAGACCTATTACTTTGCATCGAACAAACGACTTAGCTATGAAAGGGAAAACACTGGCATCAGAGAGATAGGTTGAGAGTAGCTTATTTTAATTATATTTTTAGTTTTACTGTAATTACAAAAACAGGTCTAGAAATGCATTTTGAATGTGAAGGGAGAAAAATACCTGCTGTCATGGTAAAGATCTTGATTAGGTGACCTCAAAGTACTTTACAAAAGTCACTGTTAAATGGAAGTTTTACTTAGTTATAATTAGAGTCTTTTAAACTTTCAAATAAAAATGTATCTAGAATCTTCTGCTTAAGACAAAATGACAAACCATTAAAGTTTAAAAAATGGATGCATTCCTATTCACAAAGCCAAACTGTTTTTTCCTTTCCTTGTTGTCCTTCTAGCCCTTCCACCATCTTCCCTAGATGAAAAGGGAGATGAGAAAAAGAGATGAATTTTCAAGTTTCCTATTTTATAGTAGATTTCAACTTGTACACAGTCTACTGTTTATCAAAAAGCTGTTGTAATTAGTTTCTCCATATCCTACCAAGGTTTTACAGTAGGGAAACTGAAGGATATAGATTTCAAGGTTTCTAACATCCCAGTCTCATAAAATACATTCAAATAATCTTTCTAATCAACTCAAAGCTTTCAATCTGTTTCTCTTCTTTTTCAGTCATTCTCTCAGGCATCCATCTTTCTCTTCCCCAATGATCCACTTCCACTACTTGTTAAAAAAACCAAACAGCTAGATTCTGCACATAGAGATTCAGATTGTATTTTTAGTAGGTTCTCTAAAGTGGTGTCCTGAAAAGGCACATCACAGTTCAAAAAAGGGGTCTATCATCTTTCTTGACAGAAAAGGGGACTGAATAAGTCTATCAAGCAAGAGTAGGAGGAGAAATTGAATTAATCTGAAAAAAAAAAAAAAAAGTACAGGGCTAAATGCCTGTCAATGCTTCCACTTGAGAAATTTGAAGTTAAATAAAGCAAAAGAAAGACAAAACCCAAGTGATCCTCCCCTCTCCTATCCTTCTAAGAACTACTTGATGGAAGCATTTATGGAGAGCAGCTGTTTGTAAGTGCTCTGTAACAACAACATTTGTGTATCTTTCCACAAAGATGTGTCAAAGTATTTATAATACCTGTAACATGCCTTTTTGATAACCTTTCTCAGGCTGCTTTGGTATTTATCATGTAAAGATTTTCTGAAATGATTGATGTATTTGGATATTGTTTGTTTAACTAGGCTGGGAGAAGGTGTCTTGTTGATTGCAGAAGGACAAGAGCAAAGTGAAAATTGCAGGTTTCCATGGTACAAGTAACTTGTGCTATTTAAATTAATTCAGTCCTTCAAGAAAAATTTGGACATGTTAGAGCACTTTTTTGGTGCCAGACTGAAAACTATAGGGATGACTGCTGGTAACCAGAAGGCGAATGACTGGCCAGAATAATATCAAGTCAGGCAAGTCTGTTTATCTGTTGTCAGAGCTGGGCCAGGGTATCAAATTGCTGTGTTATACTATACATTGGGTGTCCACTAGAAGCTTATGGAAGTAAAAAACAGCTTTTCCATATTGAGTGATTTTATTACCTGAAGGTGCCACAAATAGCTAGATGATCAGTTATCAGTCATGACAAATTGTTGGATTTACCCATCCCTCAGGTAATACCAGTTGTGTCCCATGTCACACATCTCACTGTTGCCTCTGCCAATAAAAGGTACTATAGCCACTTTTCAACTGCACCAGATGTGTCCCTTTGAGACTGGAGGAAACAGAAGTCCAAGTCACTATCTCAGAAGTGATTCAGGCTTCTTCAGATTAATTTATCTTTGTGTATTACTGTGATTTATGACTGTTTGTTTTTGTCCCTAGTTATTCAGTTCAGTGGAGTTTGGCAGAAGATGGCTGCTTCTTCATGAGGGAGTTACACCAAACAGGTTCTACTGGTAAGAGCAAAATCCTTTTCCTCATTTGGTAGAGGCAGCTTCCCCATACATACAGAGATGTTGAAATGGGGTCTTGAAGGCAATGTGGCTGAATGCAGTCTGCACTGCTGATTTGTTAAGATTAACTTTGACTTGGTATAAAAGGGGCTTTATTCCTCCTGCAATTGGTTTATGCAGCACTTGAAAGTGAGTCTTGATCTAAGGATGATGCACCACTGAAATATACTGAATAATAGTCTAAAATAATTTATTTGGGAGCCATTTTCTGTGAACATGTTGAGTTTGGATGCAAGTCTGTTTAGCATAAGCTTGTTTGCTTTTGCATCAGATACTAAGAAGAGTACAATCTGGTTCTGCTACCAGCAAGGGTCAAAGACTGAAGTCTTGGAGTCTTTGAGGATACTAGTGTTTCTGCCATGGGTAACAGTGGACATCCTCCAGTGACTGGTGCTATGCTTTTAACTGCTGTTAGACCTACTTTGGATCTTGAAAATGGGCAAGTTAATGACTAGTCACACACAGATCTTCATTATGAGCTTAAATCACTGTGCAATATTGCTTCTAAGCAGCCATGCAAAGTTTCCAGTCAGATTTCAAGCTGTATGGATCAGCCATGTGTAAGTTCCTTTTGCTGAATCTTTGAATATCAGTTGGTTACAGCAATGGCAAATTGTTTGCTAGTTTGACGCTAAAGTTTCTTGAAGGTGTCATAACTTTTTGTCTCTGATGCAAGCTTAAGTCTTTGCTGCGTTAAACTTAAACTTGTTTTCATGTGTTTGTCTCTATAGCCAGACAGGTTTGTATTTATATGTCTTTTCTACAGGACTCCTAATAGGGCTTCAAAGTGTCAGATGCAAACACACAGCCCCACACAACTCTTGTTTTTTCTCAGCTAATAAAAGCAGAATGTCCTAAATATCTGGGGACCCAGTCTTTGAGACATTCAGCAAAATTGAGCTCACCGAGAGAGTTGGAAAGCTGGAAAAAAAATGTCCCTGTTCTTGGGTCTGTGTGTCCTGCACTGCACTTTTGAAGTTTCCCGTTATTGTTTGCAGTAGTGGTTGAATGTGAATTGAGCTGGTGGATGCATGCAATAAGAATAATAATGAAAATTATAGTTTTCCCTTCCCTGGAGCTCAAACTTGGAACGCCTCTTAGAACCAAACAAATAAGGGAACTCAGGCTTGGTGCTTCAAAGGCATAGAGTAAGATGAAAAGATGTTCCAACCACCCATCTAATTCCCTACAGCCATAAACAGAACATGAAATTACAAGCCTGTATTTTCACCTTGAACAAAATGTCCCTTGTGTAACACATCTCAGTGTAAGCTAGACTGTACTTCTACTATCAAAAGGAAAAATAATACAGCTTGTGGAGACAGTGTTGCAAATAGTTCTGGCTTATTTCTGTTGGTCATTGTCACAGGACAATACTGTTGGCTGCAATTATATGGGCGCTCTTTGTCCTCAAAAGCAGCCATAGTAGAAAATGAAGTTTTGCATGTGTAATTGAAAACATATACACTACAGAGAATAATATTGGGCTTTTCCATGAATTTCCATTTCTGTGCAGCCAAGTACTCAAGGACAAAAAAAAAGCACTGAAGTGCTGAATCCAGAAGGCAGCCCTTTGCACCCTGTGTAGCCACTGAGTCCCCATGCAAGAAAAGCAGAAGGGAACTGGGACATAAGAGGGATATGAGTCGTTGATGAAAGCAAAAATGCCGATTGCTCACTGATACTTTAATTGCCATTTACTATGTCATGGTGGTCTTATAAATAGTTTATGGGTCACTCTTGTGTCTGAGCTTCATAGTTTTAGTCTTGAGAAGGCTCTGACTGCAAACGCTGTCAAAGAATCTGTAATGTCTTTTACAGCTGCATTTCTTACACCTGTTTCCAAGAGAATTTTTTTATTTCCTTATTTTAGTCTGCTCTGTCAAACCCCCTCTCCCACTGCCACCCTAGAGAAATTTAAACCCCTCAAAAGCAACATTAAAGCAGGAAGAAAAATGAATCTGTAATTTCCTCCTACCTCATTAAAAGCTTGTAAGGACACATTGGTGATGGACAGGCTTAGTGATGGGCTACTGTAAAACTAGTATCTCTGATACTTGTTGTAATTTTTATTTCTTATCACATATCTGTTTTCATAATTAAGTATGTGATAGTGGCATACTGGAGAAAGTGTAATCTACTCAAAGAGTCAACCATATGTGTCTGATTGAAACAGAAAAGAACCCACACTGGATACAACCCCAAGGCACTACAGTTCTGCACTGTATCACATTTTTCATGTTCTTTATTATTTCTGTGGCAGGTTCTCGAGATTTTGCTGTTGAATGTGTTGTGACAGGGAAATGCATGAAAGTTATCAAGGTGCTTAGTAATTCTGGAACTGTACTCTGTGAAAATACCCTAATTACTTGGAAAGAAGTATTCTAAGCAATATTAGTCCAAAATAATACAGATACAGCCAGTTAGGATACATGGCTTGTTGCTGATAGCACAGTGTTTACTAGTGTGGTTGGCATTCAGGGAAGAGAATGAAGTAAATGATAGTTAGAAGAGTTGGATAAATGCTTTATCTAAATACTTCTGGTTCTATTTTTGTGGTATTTGCTTATTTCCATCATACATTCCTATGGTGGAATTTTGCTGGCAAAGAAGCTGATTTGTAGTGAATACAAATGTGAGCAATAGGTGGTGAATCAGTCGTACTGGGAATTACTTTTTTTCCTTGCTTTTTAAAAGTGGTCCAGTCATCCAGTCAAAGTTCAATAGTGATATCTTGTTACTTGCAAATGACCAAACATTCATGACCACTAGTTGCAAAAAAAAAAAAGTTCAAGTGCACATAGTTCATTATAGCCAAAATGTATATGCCCAAATTGCTTGTTAAAAGCTAGATTTTTATTCTTGTCCTCAGATCAAGTCATGCCTTCAATCAGGAATTATTTTCTGAAAGTCAGTAAGTCAAGGTATCACAATTAGAGCTGACCCTAAAAAAAAAAAAAAAAAAAAAAAAGGTTAAAAAGATCATCAAAATGTCTGCAAAATGTAATTTTTTTTAATCAAAATGAAACATTTCTGGGAAAGATTCACATCTAATTTTAATCACAAACTGACCTGAAAAATATGGAGAGGGGGGTAGCAATAAAGTCAAATAATGTAAGTATCTGAAAAAACAGCATAAAATGAACTATAGAAAAATCCAGCTGGTAAATTATAATGTCAAGTTATAATCCTTATATGAGTACTATTGACTTTGTTGTTTTTTACTTGGTATCTCATCTGGACAAGCAATTAGGAGAAATTAAAAAGAAACACCACTCCATACTTCAAGATGATCAGAGAGCTTTAGTGATGATAGGGCTGGAACATCTTTCCTATTGAGAAAGGCTGAGAGAGTTGGGGTTGTTTAACCAGGAGACGAGAAGGATCCAGGGAGACCTTATTTACAGCCTTTCAATACTTCAGTGGGCTTACAAGAAAAACAGAGACTCTACTGGTGCAGGGACTGTGGTCACAGGGCAGGAGGTAACAGTTTTAAACCTGAAGAGGGCAGATTATGTTACATTTAAGGAAGAAATTCTTTACTATCACATTTACAGATAAACTGTGATTGAGCCATCCCTGGAAGAGTTCAAGGTCAGGATGAATGGGGCTTTGAACAATCAGATGTAGTGAAAGCTGTCCCTGCCTGTCGCAGGGGCTTGGACTAGATTGTCTTTAAAGGTTCATTCCAACCCAAACCATTCTAAGATGATTGTCTTAATTAGACAAAAAGTACAGCTCAAGTCTTCCATGCACTACATAGTTATAAGAGGCTGATTAGAAGTAAAAACATATCATGGTATATCTCACTTCCAGTAGTGTCATGTGTCTGTGATCTTAATGGTTCCCTGAAGAAATGACAGGAGAGATGGCAGTTTGGTAAGAGATGTTGCTATGTCTCCAGTCTGTATTGGGTTTTTTTGAGTATGAGAAGGGGAAGAAAATGGATGCAAGGATTGTAAAAAAGCAGCCAACCAGTCTTTTCCCTCAAACAATTGAGAGATATGCACACACTGAATGGGAGAGCAAGAGAAACTGCTAGGCAATATGAGCCATGATAAAGAAAGCTAATCTTCAGAGTAGAATTATAAAGTATATATCTATTATTTTCCAGAGGAATCTAGAGACTGTATTTTAAAAGCTCTGTGTTCATTGGAGCAGCTGGAAGAGCTGAAAATCAAGGAGAAAAAAAAAGTCATAGCACTGTTTAAAACTTCATTATTTTCAAGCAGTTGAAGAAAGCTGGGCAAACTGTTCCTGTGCTCTTGTCAGATCTTGGCTTGGTGAGATATGCACACCCATCCAGGTGGGCTGAGGCAATTTAAATGGCATGGTATCTGGGCTGTATACAAATGATGCTGTGTATTGCTGAACAAGACCTTTTAATCACTGCAGGGCAACTGCTGGAGGCTGATGGGGAAGATGCCAATCAAAGCGCATGGTGACAGCCTGTCCAGAAAATCATCCGCTTGATCTAACACCCAAGCCATACCTGATGAGCTGAATTGTACTAGACATTTAATTTAAAATATATGTATTTTGTAGCTTAAATATAGTGGAGATGGGCACATGCCAGAGGGACCCAGGAGTTCTGAATTAAGCAGTTGACTGATGGGGATAGCAAGAGCATAGGAAATGTTGCTTGCTTTCCATCTTTTTCTTGGTTGCTGTTTTTTTGTTGTTGTTGTTTTTTGGGGGGTGTTGGTGGGTTTTTTTTGGTGGTGTTTGTTTGTTTTTCTTGGTTTTTTGTGTCATGGGTTTGTTTTTTTGTGTGTGTTGGGGTTTTTTGTGGAGTTTTTTGTTGTTTTTTTGTTTTGTTGTTGTCTTCTTTTTGTCTTTTTTTTTGTCTTTTTTTTTTTTTTTTTTTTTTTGAGGGAGGCATTGTTTCCTGAATTGAACACTACACATTTGCTTCCAGTTGAAGTTTTGCTTTGGGAGAAAGT